GTATGGTACTTCTAGCTTTTTAAGGAAGGGCCAAACCGATTTCCAAAGGGGTTGTACCATTTTGCATTCCCACTAGCAACGTGTAAGTGTTCTAGTCTCTCCACAACCTCTCCAACATTTATTATTTTGTGTTTTTTGGATTAATGCTAGCCTTGTTTGGGTGAGATGGTAACTCATTGTAGTTTTGATTTGCATTTCTCTAATGGCTAATGATCGTGAGCATTTCCTCATACATCTGTTAGCCACCTGAATGTCTTCTTTGGTGAAGTGCCTGTTCATATCCTTTGCCCATTTTTTAATTGGGTCTTTTTGTTGTTGAGGTTTTGCAGTATCTTGTAGATTTTAGAGATTAGACGCTGATCAGATTTGTCATAGCCAAAACATTTTTCCCAGTCTATAGGTTGTCTTTTCACTGTTTTGGTGAAGTCCTTCAGTGAGCATAAGGGTTAGATTTTTAGGAGCTCCCAGTTATCTAATTTCTCTTCTGGTGTTTGTGCATTGTTAGTAATGTTTTGTATTCTGTTTATGCCGTGTATTAAGGCTCCTAGTGTTGTACCTATTTTTTCTTCCGTGATCTTTATTGTTTTAGATTTTATATTTAGGTCTTTGATAGATTTTGAGTTAGTTTTTGTGCATGGTGTGAGGTCTGAGTTTTGTTTCATTTTTTTGCAGATGGATATCCAGTTATGCCAGCACCATTTGTTAAAGAGACTGTCTTTTCCCCAGTTAACGGACTTTGGGCCTTTGTCAAATATCAGCTGCTCATAGGTGCCCAATCTTCTTGTTGAAAAGTGAGATCTGAAAAATTAAAAAAAAAACAACTCTAGGTTTCTGTTTTTACCACTGAATAACTGGAGGTCATTAAATGTTCCCTGCAAAGATTTTTAATTCTAGTATTCAAAACCAGAGAAAAAAACCTATTTATTTCCCAGATACAGATGCAAACAGAAATAAAACACAGCTGCTTTTATCTCTCCATGGGCTCTATCTCTTCTTGGTACAGAAAGAAATAATGATCTTGCAGTATAATTTCATAAGGAGATGACAAACTCAATTGCATTATCTCAACATAAACACTAAAGGCCTTATGCCAGTGCCAGTCAACATGTGCTCTAACTGTGGCAGCTGCTCACTCACCATTATAGATTATTTCAGATGAAAGAAAACATTGATTAATAAATGAAGGTTTGACAACATAGGCGTGTGGGTGGTTTTACAGCTTGATAGTCGCAAATAAAACCAGAAACAAACATTGTTGGATGAAAAGTCAATACACAAAACAGCCATGGACACAAGAGAAGGCAGTGATGGACGAATAATTTGGTTCATTTCCATTATTAAATAGCAAAGTCTTCACAAAAACATAGGCAAATCTGCAAACCCTTTGGGCCCACTGAAATTCCTTGTGATCTTAAAAAATATTACGAACTATAAAAGTAAAAGTCTAAGAAGAAATTCAAGAAGCTGTCAGTATATGTTGTTTCCATAATTATAATGACTGTGGGGTCATTATAAAGCTCTGGTGGCACAGTGGTTAAGAGCTCGGCTGCTAACCAAAAGGTCGGCAGTTTGAATCCACCCGCTGCTCCTTGGAAACACTATGGGGCAATTCTACTCTGTCCTGTAGGGTTGCTATGAGTCAGAATCGACTCAACGGCAATGGGTTTGGCTTTTGAGTTTTTTGGTGGGGTGAATATGATCCCTTTCAAGGTATGATGATTAAGGTAGAGAACATCTTTTGTTGTTACAGAATTTAAACTTCATATAAAAGGTTAGTTTATAGGCATTGAAGCCCTAAAATAAAATTAGTAATTACGAATCTCTATAACCAAGTCCATGAGATTTTTTAAAAAAACAGTTGCTATTGAGTTGATTCCAACTCATGGTGACTCCATGTGTGTCAAAGCAGAACTGACCTCCATAGGGTTTGTAATGGCTGGTTTTTCAGAAGTAGATCACCAGGCTTTTCTTCCAAGGTGCCTCTGGGTGGGCTTGAACTGCCAAACTTTCAGTTAGCTTCCAAGCATGTTAACTGTTCGCATCACCCAGAAACTCCTCTTGCTATTTTAGAGCCAGAGAAATCTGCTTTATAATCACAACATTGACACTTACAAGTGGAGTCACCTTGAACGAGTGACTTATCTACATTTCTCAGAATACTCATATTCACTTGGTAGAGCCATTGTGAGCATTAAATAATGCCAAAATTGTACTTCACACACGGTGAACACTTCATAATAAATGGCAAGAGTCTTCCTTTCTGTTTCTTTTCTCACTCTTCCTTAAGTTTGTTACAAGTTAATGTGCTTCTTTTCTCTCTGTCTAAGATATTTGTTTTAGCTTGATCCAGTAGCTCTGTCCTATTTATCCTAATTATCTTACAATTTATAGATTACTTTAGTATATCCTAAAATTAACAGACATTTTTAACATTAGCACCTTGTTTAAAAGCAGTCATTTGGAGTAACCTTTATTTTTTTTTGCTATGCTGAGAAAGTTGGCAAAGTTAATTATAAATCTGTTTAATCAATAGAAAATATCTAAAGACTTTAAAAATTAACACAAAACAATGATATGATGTAATCTCTTACTTGTATTTCCTTGTCTCATTTCCTCTAAATTTTTCATTATCTTGTATTTTAAATAAAGCAAGACCTGGTTCATGGTTGGCATCTAATAAATGTTTGTTGAATGCAAAGGGAAGGAAATAAACATGTTAATTGTGACCAGAGGCAAGGACTCCACAATACGCTGCTGGTTGATAGAGGCTAAATAGACCTGAATAGATTAAATTATCTAGGTTAGAAAACATTCTGCCGTCTGCTTCTTTTATTCATATGAGAAATTACTTAGATTAATTTCTTGGAATAGGAAAAGAGTTAAATTAACTAAAATTATAAGGAGTGGCTGAACAATTTTATGGCATCCTTTATAATCAGTTTTAGTGTTAAAGGCACCATAAAGATGATATGGCTCAACCTCCTTAAATTATAAATGAGGAAACTGAGGTGCTGAGAGCTTAAATGGCTTGCCCCATGTGATTCATCCTGTAGTGGGTGAGCTGCAAGAAGAACTCATTTCTGATTTTTTCCATTAGAGCCAGCTCCTAAAGAGACTTGCCCCAGGGCACTTATTTATATTAATACTTCCATCTATTGTGTCTATAAGGGGGCTTACCTACATACATAAACTATACAGCAAGATAAAGGCGATGATTGAGGACACCAGCTTTCAGGTCAAAGAAACCTGGGTTCAAATCCCTGCTCCACCACTTACTAGCTGTGTGATCTTGCATAGATTATCCAAAGTCTGTTCAAGTCTCCTTGTTTGTAAAGAGGGGATAATAAACTTTTGTCATCTGTAAAATGGAAGTAACAACCCATAGATTTATTATTCATGATAAATGTAATAATGTGTATAAAGGATTACCCAAGCCAAGTACATATTAGGCACTCTGTATACATTAACTATTATAAGTAAATTAGAAGTCAGAGGGAAAGTGAATGGGAAACAATATAGACAAGGATAGTCCTATATTTTACTAAGAGGAGGCCAAACATTTGGCCCCAAGCTTCCCTTCAGCCAACATAAAGAAAGAAACATGATTGATTACACAGCTCACAGGGAACTTAGGTCTATTTACTATATATTTCTGGCCAAACCATAACTGCCTGCCTCTACCCCCATCTTTCAATTGTAAAACAAGATCTCTTTCCACTAGACACAGCCATGTAAGTTTTAGAGACTTGTTGAATTATAGTGAGGGCTGCCCAAGTTTGCTGGAGACTTCTCTGGCATTTCCCACTTAGGGAGCCAGCTCACTGATAGCACCTGTAGGAGAGCACCCAGCTAAATGTCCTCCCTTCAGTGTGTCCCATTCTCAGGAAGCCCAGGACCCTGAAGGCAGTCAGGGATTTACTTCGGGTTATGTAGCTTATTGCCCTCAGCCACATCAGGAGCTCCTTAATCACAGGAAGCAGCCTTATTTCCTTACATACTGGTTCATTGCATCGCACACATGGTGGATGCTCAATAAACGTTGGTGCTTTGCAGTAATAAATGAACATGTGCAGAAGATACTGGTATGAGATTTTATGGCCTGGTTGTAACTGAGATTATTTCTGCATCAGGCAAAATAGACTTTTCATCCAACTCTGATGACAGCACTCAAGGCTTAAATCTTAGTATTTGGAACAAAAAGTAAAATCTATACGAACTCTTCTTCATTGGGTACTGATGTGCAACGGCCTGTGTTATTAGATGTCAAAATGAAATAGAATGCGTTTTCTTAAAAAGGGAGAAAAGTATACTTCTAGTACTTTAGGAGTCTTTTGGAATAGGTAGATTAATCAATTTCCTTTTAAGACTACATACCTCATTATAACTCGTGTTAAGTCATGGCCAAATCCTCATATCTCAAAAAGATAGTATATATCTTGCCTGGTGTATCATGTACAGGTGAAGTGTGGAAAGGTCAGGATAAAACCCACTGTCGAGTTGATTCCAACTCATAGTGACTCAGGATAGCATAAAAATATTTTTAAATTACAAATTGCAATTATTGTGAAATGCCCTAAATTTCTTTAGAAAACATTTGAAGTTGCTCATTTTACATGGTATTTCTTTTTCCCATGTATCTGTTAGTTAAGAATCAGTTTCTGCCTGGATGGTGCATTCCCCAGCTAGTCTCTTTTGAGTCTCTCCTCATTTATCCAAGTTAATAAAATCTGATGAGAGATATGTTGGCATTCATTCAAGGTTGTGTTTCTTTTTTCTTGTTGTTTACAATTAAGTACCTTGCTCCAATTTAATTTACAAGCTAGGAAGTCTTTAAATGTTAAACAGGAGAATAAATTAAAAGGTGGTTTGGGATAACAGGGGTTCACACAGAGCTAAATGACTTGGGTCTATATTCTCTGCTTAAGCTTGGATTCAAATGTGTAATATGATTTTTTTTGACCAAAGTAATAAGTCCTTGTAACCTTTTCCTTCTTTGCCAGCTCCTTTGCTTTTACCCCGTCAGAAGTCAACATGTCTCTGAAAAATGAGCCAAGAGTAAATACCTCTGCACTGCAGAAAATCGCTGCCGACATGAGCAATCTGATAGAAAATCTAGACATGCGGGAGCTCCACTTTGAGGGAGAGGAGGTGGATTTTGATGTGTCTCCCAGCGATCCCAAGACACGTGAAGGTAAAGACTAATGATCCGAGGAGGGGAGGGGTGGGGGAGACAGTTCATCAGGGTTGATTGGCAGAGCCTGATTTTGAAATAACCAGCAAATGATTGATCTTCCTCTCAGATGTCATTACACTGGGCTGAGATCGTTCCCTTGGGTGCTTTCTCATTTTAACACATTATGACTCTTGAAAAGGATGCCTGTGAGAGGCATGTATACTGATATCACTTATTCTTGCAATAACTTTATTTACTTGTTTGTTTTTTAGTGTCTATTCCTTTCTCTGCTGTTTATAACACTCAAGGATTTAAGGAGCCTAATATACGGTCGTATCTCTCTGGCTGTCCAATAAAAGTGAAAGTTCTGGAAGTGGAACGCGTTACATCTACAACAAAGGTCAGAGCATTTGTGTACTCTTTTTTTATTTGTCTATATGTATGACTGAATACGTTGACTTCCGTCTTCCTTCTTGCCAGCTATGCCCATCTTTTTAGTTTGTTTGTCTGTCCCCTCCAAGTCCACATCACCTCTCAAGTTTTGCTTCCTTCTCCATTTAGTCTTTATTCTCATACTTCTCTTTCCCCATTCTGGATAATTTTTTTTTTTAAGGCATTTAAGGTTATTTATCAGTGTAGTAAATTACAAAGTACTTCCCCTATTTCTCCTCTCTCCTCAATTATCTGTTTAATTTGGACTCTTGGAGCAAAGTGCCCTTGTGGTGCAGTAGTTAACCACTTGGCTGCTAACCGAAAGATTGGTGGTTGTTCAGACCAGGAGGAAGATGTAGCAGTCTGCTTCCATAAAGATTACAGCCTTGGAAACTCTACCGGGCATCTCTACTCTGTCTTACAGGGTCGCTATGAGTTGGAATCAACTCAACAGCAGTGAGCTCCTTAGAGCATAGGCATTCCACCTAGGATGCCAGGCATAGGTCAAGGAAAAGTTCAGCTGTCTTCACGCTTGTTTAGCAAGAAAATCATGATGCTAGCTCACTCTTGAAAGAAATAAAGCCAGGATTCTGGGTTGGCCGGTCCCATTAGCCGGAAGTACTGCTGAGGGAATTCTGCTAGCACACTCTGCCTATTTGTTCCTAGCACCCTGTCCTTCAGGCTCCACTCACATTTTTTTCTTGTTGAGCACTAGAAAGGCTTCGGAATAAAATGTCTTCATCAAGCATAGCTGTACCCTGTAAAATGGAGTGGACTCAGAGAAGCTGTGAGGGTAGCTACCTTTGCTGTTACTGCCTAGATTTTGTAGTTATCCAATCTGCTGGGTGTGTAAAGTTGCTTCAGGTGAAGCTTTAGCCACAGTGGAATAAAGCCCTGTTGACACCTGCTTCAGGGGAAAACCCAAAAAACCTGTTGCCATCAAGTCGATTCTGACTCAAAGCACAGAATAACTTTTCTGTCAGGAGCAGGCTTTGTTTTCCCTTCCTCCTTGTCTTTTGGAGGGTGAATGGGCTGCCTTGGTTTCCTGATGGTTTTACCTAGTGTTCTGTCCCTACCTACCCGTGCAAATACTGATCCCCAGTTTACTCCCACCTTGGTGTCCAGCCTGTGCTTTAGGCTCTTCCTGCTCTGGGTTGGGTTCTTGTCTTCCTGATACACCACTGAGGCCAACCCATCCAGATAGGTCCCTAAGATGAACTTTACCTTTTTATTTTGCCTGCCAGCTCCTTGATTAAGAAGCAGTAATGTGTGCCTAGGTAGTTAAATGCATAGAATCTAGAGCCAGGCTCCGTGGTTTAATTCTTGGTTTTGCTTTGTGATCTTAGGCAAGTTATTTAACCTGTTTCTCAGTTTCCTCATTTGAATGATAGATAAAATAATGCCTACGTCATAGGTTTGTTATGAGAATTTAATAATAATATGTTGTATTATTATTATTATTGAACATTTTATTGTGTTTTAGGTGAAAGTTTACACATCAAGTTAGTTTCCTATTCAACAATTCATATACAGATTGTTCCATGACATTGTTGCCATTCCCGCAACGTGTCAGCTTTCTCCCCATTTCCACACTGCCTTCCCCATTTTCATCCTTTCGTTTCCCTACGCCTCCTTGCCTTCTCATCTTTGCTTTTGGACAAATTGTTGCCTGTTTGGTCTCTTGAGCTGATTGTTCTAAAGGAGCACATTCCTCACGGGTGGTGGTGTTTATTTTATAGGCAAATCTATTACTTGGTTGAAAGGTGACCTCCTGGAATGGCTTCAGTTCCAGGTTAAATGGGTGTCTGTCTTAGGGCGGTAATCTCAGGGGTTCCTCATCTCTATCAGTCCAGTAAGTCTGACTTGTTTAAAAATTTGAGTTTTGTTCTACATTTTTCTCCCATTCTAACCAAGACCTTCTATTGTGTCCTTGTTCAGAGTGGTTGGTAGTGGTAGCCAGACACCATCTAGTTCTGGTCTCAGGCTAGAGGAGGCTGTGGTTCTTGTGGGCCATTAGCTCTCTGGACTATTTCTTTGAACCTTTGGTTTCCTCCCCTCTCCTTTGCTCCAGATGGGAGGAGACCGATAGTTCACAAGTTTTTAAGACCCTAGACGCTACTCACCAAACTAGGATGTAGAACAGTATAGACTATGTTATGCCAATTGACCTAGATATTCCCTGAGACTATGGTCCTGAGCCTTCAAATCCAGTAACTCAGTCCCACGAGGTGTTTGTATATGTTTAGGAAGTTTCCATAACTGTGTCCCTTATGTGCTCTATTATATATATGAATATATATACAGTGGAAACCCTAGTGGCATGGTGGTTAAGAGCTACAGCTGCTAACCAAAAGGTCGGCAGTTCAAATCCACCAGGCTCTCCTTGGAAACCCTATGGGGCAGTTCTACTCTGTCCTATAGGATCATTATGAGTCGGAATCAACTTGATGGCAATGAGTTTGGTTTTTTGGTTTTTGGTATATATGCAACACGTACAAATATGTGTATACAGATGCCCACAACTATACCTGTGTATGCACACATACGTACTCCCATACATCCTCTCACACCTGTACAGCATACATATCTACCTATGAAACCACTTACAAATTTTTGGTTGTTATTACTGTTGTTGCAGAGCTGGATATGTTATAGCATTTATTCTTGCGTACCCCTCAGTGTCTTCATTTACCTTGGTCACGTGCTGTCTTCCCCCGTATTGTATATTGCCTTTCTCTTCACCAGAACTAACATGTGTCTACTATCTAGTAAGTGATTCTCCCCTCTTCCGCCTCCCATCCCTGGTAACCATCAAAGAACGTTGTTTTCTGTGTGTAAACCTATTCTTGACTTTTTATAAAAGTGGTATCATTAATATTTGTCCTTTTGTGGTTGACTTATTTCACTCAGCATAATGTCCCCCAGATTCATCCATGTTATGTTTGTATTGTTATTATTAGGTATCTCCTAAAGTTATTCAGGAGCCCTGGTGGTGCAGTGGTTAAGAGATGGGCTGCTAACCAACAGGTCGGGAGTTCAAATCCACCAGCCGCTCCTTGGAAACCCTGTGGGGCAATTCTACTCTATCCTAGAGGGTCGCTATGAGTCTGAATTGACTCAAGGGCAATGGGTTTTTTTTTGGTTAAAGTTGTTCATGAAGATAAAGCCCACCAAACCAGGGGCTTCTCTTCGTTTATACTCTTCTATTAGTCAAATGAGTTTATTTCTGCTTTAAATCTTAGTCTGTGTGAGAAAACTAAGGATCATCCTTATCCTACTTAGCATTTACTAAGGAATATGAACTATATTTATGCAATTTGAATGTGATTCCAGGCAAATAAGGATGACACTTGTTATAATTTCTGAATATATGCTATGTGCCAGCTCATCAGGAACCTTGGTGGTGCAGTGGTTAAGAGCAGAGGCTGCTAACCAAAAAGTTGGCAGTTCAAATCCACCAGCCACTCCTTGGAAACCCTACAGGGCAGTTCTACGCTGTCCCATAGGGTCACTATGAGTCAGGATCAACTCAATGGTGACAACCCTACGAGATAGATGTTATTCATTCCCCTAACCCCCCCAATGCTGAAGATCTTCCATTTACCCCTCCAGATCCTTTCTCTGCCCTACTCGTTGCCCCTTGAAGCTCCCTTGCCTTTTTCCTTTAGTAAGAGATTGGGGTTACCCTGGGCTGGCCAAGTCCCTAGACCAAAGGTACTGCATCCCAAGGTGGCCCTCTTTGCATGGCCCTTTCCTTCTGGTTCCAGCAACTGGTCTTGCCTCTTGTCTCTTCAGGACTAGGGATGGTGACATCTTTGCAATCCTGAGTCCCTGTTACAGTCCTCTCCTTTGTGGTCCCCCTAACCCCTGCCACACCTTTGTAGGAAGCAAGTTTATTAAAACTCCTCAAATCATTCTATTCCAATTCCCAAAAATTCCAGTACTGGGACCTTGTCTGACAGAAGTTGAGTCAGTTGGCTGAGGTTTCACAGTTGGTAGGATTTTAAACCTTCAAAACCTTCAAAAAGGACATGATGTGCTGTTTGCACTGTGCCCTTCTGCCTCACAATTGCTAAGAACTCTAATGTATAAAATTTTTGATTCATATGTCAGAGAGAAAACTTGGCTTTTACAATGTTTTGTAATTTTGCAGCTCTCTTGGATTGGGAAATATAAGTCCAGGAAATGTGGCAGCTTGCCTGATTTGTATAATTTTTCTTATTTACTTGGCTCATCTTAAATTGAGCTCTTTTCACTCGAATGCAAAGGTCCTGGCCACTCTGAGTTTTCCTGCATCCATCTCCGTGAAACAAGATGCAGGATGATGACTGTAATGTTGGTCAAGTTGAAACAAAGCATGTAATATTGAACTCCAACTTCTGGTTGCAGCAATTGTCACAGGTCCTAACTAGAGAGAAAGCAAGTACTAGGTATGAATATTTACCAGTGATATGGATGGGTGCTAGTTTTAAAAGTACAAGTCATACTGATTCTCATGCTGTTTTATATACCACCTCTATGCATAGTGATCATACTTTAGAAGCTTGCAAAGTATGCAACCATCAGTAGTGAATGGCAGCAGGCCAGCTTTGGTGCCAGGATGACTCACAGTCACCCAGGGCTTGGATAAACTAGCAGAGTTGAAGACATTTACCTTTCCCACCCCTCATCACCTATGGCATCTCAGCCTCCTAGCAGGGACCAGTATCCTCTAGGTGGCCCAGAGTAACACCCCCCGCCCATACACCCCCCCCCCACAGGAGCTTCCTTCAACCTCTCTTGTGTTTTCAAAATACCCATCCTTCTCCTGACAGCCTCTTCTGTATCAAAACTCCTATTCTCCGGGTCTGTTAGATCTTCTGAAATAATTCACTAGTCACCCAGGTTTATTTGCATTTTGAAAGAAGTATTTAAAAATTTTAATAGAGATTCATTTTGGGTAAGTAGTTGGGGAAAATACTTTTTGGGTAATTATATTTTCCTTCTAACTCTCCTTTACCTTCCTGATCGTTGGTGGCACCTCAGAGAAGTGGGGTGGTGTAGATAAGGCTGGACCATGGAATGCGTTTCAGAAGGAGAAGGAGAGAGGGCGCGTAATGTCATTTGTGAAGGGCAAGACATGCTGCAAAGATGATATTCTTGGCATGCCTTTTCTCCTGTCTCCGCCTTGTCCCCTCCAGTTGTCTGTCTGTTCACTGCCTGCTAGATGAGACCTCTATGGGCCAGTCAGGGTCTTCTCTCATGGTGTTCTTTACCTGGTTTCTGGTTTCCATTGTGTGTGTGTGTTTGGGAAGATAGGCTTAGTAGGAATTTGTGATTCTAAAATTGTGTTATATAGATTATAAAATACTTAAGAGGGTGTTATTTTTTTAATCACAGATTGAGAAATTTGAAAATTTGAGTAAAATATTTATGTAATTACACAAAATAAGTAGGCTGGCTTAAGGATACTTTCATGTTACTTATTAGCTATTGATCATTGAGGACTTTTGGAATTTTTGTTGTTATCTAAAATACCAACCATTTTTATTTATCAACGTAGCTACCAAGTTCCGATTTTTACACTATTGAATTAACACATGGAGAATTTAAGTGGCAAGTTAAGAGGAAATTCAAGCACTTTGAAGAATTTCACAGAGAACTGCTCAAGTACAAAGCCTTTATCCGAATCCCCATCCCCACCAGAAGGTAACTGTTTCAGTATTAATTATAAAGTTATTTTAGTATACAAGTTGGATGGAAAGAATATTTCATATTATAGGTTAATTTTGTTCATTGTTGGTAGATATTTTCAATTAAATAGGCTCTTCTAAAAATAAGCCATCTCATGGAAGATATTAAGAGAGTCCAAGTTCAAAGAATAATCTAATAAATGTTTGTGTGTGTTTTTTTTAGACACACATTTAGAAGACAAAATGTCAAAGGGGAGGAACCTCGAGAGATGCCAAGTTTACCACGTTCTTCTGAAAATAGGATTAGAGAAGAAAACTTCTTAGGTAAAAGGGTAAGTCCTTTAACTATTCCATTGTTTTGAACATAATTTTGCAGCGCTATAGAAAGAGGGGAGCCCTGGTGGCAGAGTGGTTAAAGTGCTCTGATGTTAACCAAATGTTGGCAGTTTGAACCCACCAGCCACTCTGCAGAAGAAAGATGTGACAGTCTGTTTCCATTAAGATTACAGCCTTTGGAACCCTATGGGGCAGTTCTGCTCTGTCCTACAGGGTTGCTATGAGTCAGAATCGACTCGAAGACAACGGGTTAGGTTTGATTTAGAAACACAGCACCTAAGGAGGGATGAAGCGGGTCTCACCACAATGTCTCTCACCCACTGATAGATCACCCAAGCTGGCTTAGCTTCTCTGGAGCTGGGTTAGTCATCTCCTTTTTCCCTAAACCATTTTGGATCCTTGGGAGGTTACGTTTTCCCAGAAGAGGAGTTATGTTATTATGAGGAAGCTGTCTTCCCTGCAGGAAACTCTCTGGGCTGATTGTGAGTCAAAAATTGAGCTCATCTTCGTTGAGCTCATCTTTGTGGGCTTTGAGAACTACTCTCTTGAAATTATATATTTCCCTATGTTTGCTTTATTATTTGTGGTCAAACCAAAACCAAATCCATTGCCATTGAATTGATTCCGACTCATAGTGACCCAATAGGACATAGTAGAACTGCCCCATCGGGTTTCCAAGGAGTGGCTGGTGGATTCGAACTGCCGACCTTTTGGTTAGCAGCCGATTTCTTAACCGCTGAGCCACCAGGGCTCCATTATTTGTTGTAGCTTATTCTAAATATATGTAAAATCTCATTCTTAAACTATAGATGGGCCAGGTAGGGTTTGAGAAGAGCAGAACAGAGTGCAAATGTGTATGACAGGAAGCTCAGGAGGAGGGAAACCTTTGCCCGCTCTGCTTCAGTGATACTGTGCTACACAGGATAGGAGGTTAATTTTTTGTACTAGAAAATTAGCAAGGAAACATCAGTTCTCTTCTATAATCAGAAATTTTCTGTTCCAGAGGGGATATTTGGGTTTCTCCTTGGTAGTTGTCATGTTGTTTAAAATCTTTTTAGGGATCTGGCTTAAATATTTTCTATGATACCCCAACTTATAAAATTCTACAGTTTTGTCTTACTCTGTGTACATATGTGAGTCTGGCTGAAAAGGTTAATTAAGGCCATTAACCCTTAATGATTCAGCAAAAGAGATTTAGTAGCATGGGCAAAATGATTGACATGTGCTTTTCCACTGCTTCCAAGTCTAAGAAACATACCCCCCCCTACATTTTAACATATTTGAAATCAGGGAACATATTTACTGAGTAAGTCTCCCCCCCCCCCCACCTCGAAAAGCTGCTAATACATTTGTAAATTCAGTGTTAGAATTGAGGAAATACAGATTTTTGGTAAATTCAACAAATGTTTTAAAAGTACCTACTATGGACAAGCCCTATGCTAGTAGCTATGGAAGATAAAAAGAAATGTAAGGCTCAGACTCTGTATTTAAGCAGTTTATAGAATACTTAAGATGGTGAAAACTTAAATAGCGAAAAGAGATTGAAATAATGGTTCAAGGGAACTGTGGAAATAATGCCTTAATGCTACTCAGGATTCCTTGCCCAGTGATACTATGAATAAACAAGTGAATAACTTATAAAATGAAAATGAAGTGATGATCATAGCACATCATTGTTGCTGTTTTCATTTTTCAATAAGTATGACCATGTTAACTTTTATCTAATATTTGCATTACAGAAACAACTGGAAGATTACTTGACGAAGTTACTGAAAATGCCCATGTACAGAAACTATCATGCAACAGTACGTGCTTTTCAGTGATTTAAATTTTGAAGTTATTTGTAAAACAGTAAATTGTCAGCTAAAATTTGGATCATTTTATGACCAAAGTGTTGGTATCCACTTCTGTGTTGTTCTTTTAGTTAAAGTAAATGAAGATAACATTGATTTGACACCCAGGATCCAGTTTGTGGTGAATACAGTGCTATTTTTAAAATATTGGCTATAACTTAATATGTCTATAACAATAGGTTTAAATGAACTTGAGATGATACCACAGGCTAGATTATCTAGAAATCAATCTTCTTCTTTCCTCGGGCTTCCTGAATAATGCCAAAAAGCATTCCTAGCCCTGAACAAAAAATTTTGAGTAGCAAGTGATGAAAACAGTTAAGCAGAATTGAATACCCAAAGGTTATACAGAGCATACTGTGATTACCATCTAAGTGGGCTGTGATGCCTATAAAAGCCCTGTCTTTTCATGTGAAAAGTGAGAAGCCTGGGAAAAGTTGGAGAGGGAAAAAGCCCTTGGGAAAACAGAAAAGAGGGGAGAGGTGGTGGGGCAGAGATTAGGCAATGAGCTCCACCATCTTAGAGGCCCTTGAAAGTTGGGTGTTTTTAAAGGATTAACCCTCAAATATCCAGGGATCTGGATAACTGAGAATGCACTGGATTATTATATTTTGTTTCTCTGCGTGTATAAAAACTGTATTACTGTAGAGGTTGTACCTATGTGTGTGATGTATGTGAAGAACTTAAGAGTAGGTGCAGTTGTCATTTGGCCTCTAGTTTACAGAATGCCATCACATAAACACGTGAACAGCAGAGGGACACCGTCGGTCTATTTAGGACAGGAAATCAAAGGAGGTATTGCATTGGGCAAATCTACTGCAAAACACTTTTCTGAAGTGTTAAAAAGCAAAGACGTCACTTTGAGGACTAAGGTGCACCTGACCCAAGCTATGGTGTTTTCATTCACTTCGTATTCATGCAAAAGTTGGACAATGAATAAGGAAGACTAAAGGAGAATTGATGCCTTTGAATTGTGGTGTTGGCGAAGAATATTGAACATGATGCGGACTGCTAGAAGAACGAACCAATCTGTCTTGGGAGAAGTACAGCCAGAATGCTCCTTAGAAGCAAGGATGACAAGACTTCGTCTCACGTATTTTGGACATGTTATCAGGAGGGACCAGTCCCTGGAAAAGGGCACCATACTTGGTAGAGTCAGTGAAAACGAGGAAGACCCTCAGTGAGATGGACTGACACAGTGGCTGCAACAATGGGCTCAAACATAGCAAAGATTGTGAGGATGGCGCAGGACCAGGCAGTGTTTTGTTCTGTTAGTTGGAACTGACTCCATGGCACCTAACAACAACAACAAGCCAATAGAATTATGGGTCTTGATCAAGGGGCCAGAAGGATCACATCCCTAATTTCAATAAGTCTGTCCCGATCTTTATTTGGAATCTGTATTTTTAACAATAGCACAGGTGTTTCTTATTATCAAGAGTGTGAAACTCTGCTAAACTAGAATGTTATGGTCAGGTTAGAAATGTCTTGGTAAATTTGGAGTACTTTAAAAAGTGGAAATAGATATTATCATGGTATCTGTGTAATAGAATTTACCCAGAGGGAAATGTGTTTAGGCTTCAAAGCATTAGCCCTTTAGTTTTTCTTAAATGGCTTTTGAAGTTAGACACGGACAGATCTTTTCTCTTTTATATGATCGTTAGTTGTGTTGGTACTCAGACAAACACCTTTTTTCTTCCAGGATTATGAAGACTTCCTTTGTTTTTATTCCGTTTTTCCTCTTTCTGGTTCTGAAGAACAAATTGTCCTAGTGTTTTAGTGGATTCAGTTTTCTCAGAGATTATCAGTAATTCATTCAGTTTTCTTTACTCATTTGTAAAATGGGGACAGATGTATTTGACCTCTCCTCTAGGCATAAAGGGGTCTTGGTGGCACAGTGGTTAGCTCGGATGCTAACCAAATATTGGCAGTTCTAATCCACCAGCCGCTCCTTGGAAACCCTATGGGGCAGTTCTACTCTGTCCTACAGGGTCACTATGAGTTGGAATTGACTGGATGGCAATGGGTTTGGTTTGTTTTCTAGGCATAAATGTGTTAAAAAAATTAAGCAATATGTAACTCAGTTGTACAATGACAAATAAAATCCCAAACAGGAATTCTTTTCATGTTCTAACATTGTATTAGTGCTGGTTGTGGTATGGGCATTTTAGTTAATAACTGGAAAATGCTTTCCTTCCAGGGAACTAAAAGGAGAAGAATTAAGAACAGTAAAAGTACTTTTTTTCTTTCTGAAGATTAAAATCTAAAAATGGAACAAAATGCACAATTTCTAAGAGAAGGGTTCTCAGTTAATACAATCATGTACCTAACTTCAAGTAAATTATTTAACTCCTGCAACTCAGATTCCTTATGTCCAAGATGATGATTAACTTGAAATCGTAATTGTGGGTAAATCATCCCACAGATCAATAATACTGAGTTCACCTCTTCCTTGTTTTGTATGATGAATAACTTTAGCTTGAGCGGAAGAGTAGGTAAAGAATAAAGACATACAGTTCTTTTCCCTTCCCAACAGAGAAGAGCTGTACTGATTTTGATAGCTGCATCTACAAATTAAGGGAAGTGTTGTCATTATTCTGATTCATAGCGACCCCAGAGGACAGAGAAGAACTGCCCCACAAGGTTTCCAAGGCCGTAAATCTTTATGGAAGCAGATTGACACATATTTCTCCTGCTGAATGGCTGATGGGTTCAAACCCCGGACCTTTTTGGTTAGCAGTCTAGCGCTTAACCACTGTACCACCGGGGCTCCCATGAGTTGGAATCAACTTGAAGGGCAGTGGGTTTGGTTTTTCATTTTGATTGTCATTATTATCATTGAGTCTTAGAGTTGGGACTGTAAGCCAACCTGTTTCCTCCACAGATTAGATGTCTTCTTTTTTCCTGGAGCTTTGTTAACTGCTTTACCAGGAAGGCAACCTTTCCTGGGGTAGCCCTCACTACAAGGGCATTGCCCAACCCAACAACCTTATCGTCTTTGCTTCTGAGAATTTTCAACTTGGCTACTTGTTTGAATTTTTGCTGCTTGAAAAATAAAGAGGACCTTGGAACATCACCCTCCTCTTATCATTCAAAGATGGGGTAGAGAGGTCAGTGTATACAGGATTGCCAAGAAATTTCCAGGGTGTGTTGTTACCCCTAGGGTTTGTTGCTTGTCCTGTGGCACGGGAACACTTTTGCTTCCCTTTTGCCCCACCTTTTTCCTCATCCAATTGGTAAGTCACATCTGAATTTTTGACTTGAGACCATTTTCCACCTAATGCCAAAAGCATTACTTCATTGTACTTCTCACAAGTTCCTTTGTGCACACACACCCCCACACACAAAATATTGATTAGCATATTACTCAAGAGATCAGTAAGCCCTATGGAATATTGTCAGGCTAAATTTATCTTTAAATTCTTATTTCTGAGAAGTACCTGCCCAAATGGAGAATGGGATTCTTATCATTAAAGACACACTGAAAAGTTTGGACAATATAATCTTGTTAAATTTAAAATTTTATTCATTAGTTTTGTCTCTAAATTGACCTTGATACGTTTGCTTTCAATTTGATAAAGATTAGAATATTTACCTTCAAAGATCCGCACCGTACCCCCTCGGTATAATAAGACTATTTCTTCCTTAAAAGCACTCCTTAAACTCTACTAAACCATTAGGATAAATCTAAATTCCATATTAATGTATGACTTTAATTTTCTGTATTACTAATGTATACTTTTAAATTTAGATGAAAGTCTTTACACTTACCAATTTTGTTATGACATTCTAAAGTTGTGATTTCTGAAAGTATTTTAAAGAATATTTGTGTTACTATTTGAAGAGCTATGTGAATAAGAAGACATCCAGGTATTAGATGAGTGGTTTCCTAACTTTGATTTTTGCTTTTCATTTCTTATTCTTCCATTCAATTGTTCTGTGACTTTGCATAAATTAGTTACACTTCTGTAGTAGTTCCTTCAAGTGTAAATTAGGATTGACATTTTCTGTCTGCTCCCTAGAGATAAAATAAAAGTTATGGTTTAGGATTTTAAAACATTTTGGATTCTGTAGTTGGCTGCCTGCAGTGTCATTTTTTATAACCCATAGGTTGCCACATTTTCCAATTAGAAAGCATTCCTACAAATCAGATAAAAACTTGATGGTACTGAATCACTATGTTTTATATAAGAAATGAAACTTAAAGACCTTGACTTTTAAAATCCTTATCAAAAAATAAAAATTCCCTGTGTAGGTATGTTTGATTTGAGGTTTTTAAGGATATTTAAGTCCTTTGGAATTTTAAATACCTACTTTCTGTAAATAATCCTAAGAAAAGAAAGAAATGCAGGCCTTTAATTTACCTCACAAGGACTGACAGCTCTGAGAGATTAATAATTTTTTCTTCAGGGTTAATATTAGATATTTCCAGTCATATATACAAAACTTTAAAGGAAAACTGTTGTGTTGCCCTTTCCATTTTATTAAGCCCTTTTTCACGCCTAGATCAAATGCCACTTTCCCTGCGATGGCACATGAACTAGGAAGTGGTCCCCCTCTCCCCTACAGCTCTGTAACTACGTTCCCACTTACCTGGTATATTTGTTGACATAGGGTGCTTTCCCTCTGCTTCCTGAAGCCGGAAACATACCTTTTTTGTCTTCGCTCTTCCGGCAAGGCCCTTATTGACACAGTCTATGGGCCATTGGCAGATGTGGGCTTACTGTTGACAACTTTTGTAAAAAAAACTCTGTAAATTGTGAGCAATATAATGTCTAACTATTGTTGCTTCAAGGATTATATGAGGTAAAACTCCTGCAGATGCTTAACATTACATTATGTTGATTTGTTTTTCCCTGTATATCCTGACAATTGCATCTAGTGCTTACCTAGGTAGAATGTATAAGGAGCTCAGTCTGAGTAGTTAAATGTTGAGTGATTTTTTCCTTTTG